ATATTTAGGTTCGTATGATGATATTGTAATTGTGTCAAATTAATAAATTTAGAAATTTTCAAGTTCTTCAGTTGTAGTGTAATTGTGGAACAGGAATGTGGTAAAATATATAGCGTATGTATAATACAGTAGAAATACAAAACTTATGTAACACATATGTATATGTATATGTAGCATATGCATCCTAAGAGACATTGTGGAATTATAGAACTAGAGTATTGTAGAATATATAGTAGAAGCATAGACTCGAATACAGTAAAATATACAGAAAAATTGTAGAACTAAAATACAGTAGAACATACATGCATATAATTAAAATTTAGTAAAACTACAAAAATAATGAAAATATACTAAAACTATAAAACTTGAATCTGGCAAAAAATATAATATCTACCTAGAGCACACACTAATATAAACCTAGAACACACTAAACTCTACGAACCTACCTAGTAAACTTTAACGAAACAAAACCGGAAAACCACAGAACAGAACTAGAAATACGAACAAAGCAAACGTCAGTACGTAACAGCCTTTCGTTGACCGAAAGAGAAATTTCACAACGGCCCGTATTTTCGCAGATCCGATGATTCATATAACACCTCGGGTGGTTACAAAATTATTCCCCCTCATATTAGCAGGCATCGCAGCTCGTTATTTCAAAGCGATAGTTTGGCCCAGTTTGCGAGACACCCTGTATACACCGTGTCTGGTGGATCAGTGTGGGAGCGCATATTCGTGGCATAGGCAGAGGAAAGGTTTACACGAGCACATCGCCGCCAGGCAGACGTCGTCTGGGAAAGGCCCAGCTAATTTTGCTGGCCACGGCAAAGCGACCTGAGGCCGATGTATGAACGCGTTTCCAAGAGATGCATACCCAGAATTCGTGCTGCTGGCTGCCGAGTCCGAGCTCCTTTGGTAAATGTTTACCTCCGACCCCTCTCAAGCCTGTCGATCTATGTATTATTATCGGACCAGTTCACTGGCATTTCAACGTTCGACACTGTCTGACCATCTACCGCCCCTTATCTACTCTACTACCTAGTTACTCTTCTCGGAATTCGGATAGAATATTCGCGTTTAGCTCTCTTTTTGATTATACGGTTTTCGTTCGTTCGCTTTCTTCGGTGATTCTACTGCAAGATGAATCTATTCGCAATTAGAGTGCGAGACGATATGTGTTAAAAGAGCTCTAAATTGGGAAAGTTAGAAATTAGCAATTTTTTAGTTAAAGAAAAATTTTATGATTTTTAAGTTAGATGGAAATATTCTGGACTTCAAATTGGGAACTCTACAGTTTTTTATCTCTCAAAATACTTCTACTGTTGCTAATTTTATAAATTGTTGAAAAGTCAAGTATTTAAAATTTGTAGTCGTTAAATTGTTAAATTGTAATACTGTCGAATTTTCAAAATTGTAATTTTTCATACTGACAAGTTTTTTAAATTTTAAGTTGGAAGACCATTAAATTGTTAGACTGTGAAATTTTCAAAATTTAAATTTGTCATACTGACAAGTTTTTTAAATTTCAAGTTGACAAACCATTAAATTGTCATATTGTCAAATCTTCCAAATTTTTATTTGTCATACTGACAAATTTTTAAAATTTTAAGTTAGAAAACCATTAAATTGTCATATTGTCGAATCTTCAAAATTTTAATTTGTCATACTGATAAGTTTTTAAAATTTTAAGTTAGAAAACCATTAAATTGTCACATTGTCAAATTTGCAAAATTTTAATTTGTCATACCGATAAGTTTTTGAAATTTCAAGTTGACAAACCATTAAATTGTAATATTGTCGAATCTTCAAAATTTTAATTTGTCATACTGACAAGTTTTTAAAATTTTAAGTTAGAAAACCATTAAATTGTCACATTGTCAAATTTGCAAAATTTTAATTTGTCACACTGACAAGTATTTTGAAATTTCAAGTTTTAAAACACAGCAGAAGGTATGACCATATCAGTATCATCGAGTCAATAAGTTTTCAAATAGATCGTTAAAAGCTATCAAGAACAACGAGCATTAAGGGGTTAATAATATCCGCGCCATGCGTAATAGATATATGTACACATATCAAAGATCATCTCGCTGGTTCTTTAAACGGGTCATCGAGAAGCCTGAGTACATTTAAACGCGCGATCGAGCAGTGGACTTGTCGACTTTTAAACAGGCGTAAACTATTATGTCCGAGGAGAGAACACCGTAAGATTCGTTATCAGTGTCCACTCGTTAGACGGTCATTTTTCGCGATAACGCGGAACACCGTCAGCCATTCAGCGTGCTTTTCGCATTCCAGATGCTAGATAGCCCTAGTGTTATTTTGCTGGTCGTTGCATACGAATGCAAATCGTTATGCGTCAACTTTGTCTGCGCATCTCGGCAACACGTGGTCAGAAATCGCGGCCATCTCTGAGCATTGATGCGATACAGCGAGCTGAAACTATCTTTAATGGTGACAACGACCTTTTTAATGAGGATGTGAAAAATGAAACGCGAAGTTGGTAGATTTGATTCTTAGGAATTCTTTGAACACTTAAAATATTACTTTGTATTTAAATAATAATTTTGACGTGCCTATAGCTTTAACTCCGTCAATCAAATTACATAATTATGGTAAGTTTTCCCAAAAATTTCTCCTTTGATAAATGAACACATGATATTAAAAGTTGCATCGTTATTGTTATTAAATCTTCCGTAAGTAATGGAATCCTCACCTACAATTACGCCCTTAAAACAGCGTTTCCTTGATGCACCATTAATTCCATTATTTTGATATTAACGAAAATGCGGCGTTTAATGAAGGGAAGTTTCCAACAAATTTCGCTTCCTCGCGTTACACGACGGTTTGATCGTTGCACCTCTCGCTTAATCTGTACGCAAGTCCGGCTGGTGTAATTATGCAATGTAAATGAGGTCCATTAGCGTTATCGTTCGAAAGGCTGCGAGCGCACGCGAGCTTCTGTTTCATGGCGGATCGAGCTGCAGTGTTTACAAAATAGTGAGAGTTTAAGAGCACCACTCGACAAGCGACGCCGATGACGCGATTTTCCCCTTGCCACATAGTTTCTTTCAACACGGAGATCGTTCACACGTGTTACGTATATTCGTGCTCGAACGATCGAGCACACTGGCCTTGCTCAACGAAATCGTTAAGATCGTAACACGCTCGTTGTTAACCCTTTTTGAATGGAGCTGATTATTCCGCGTTTTTGCACTCCGGTTAAGGAAGTTTTATTTTATAATTTGCATACATTTTTCATTTTTAGGAGGAATGTTATTTTACTTTACATTTGGTATGGTTTTAAGTCTGATTTTAATACATTAGGTTATGTTCAGTTCCATTATTTTAAATTAGGGTGTATTAAATTAGAGTAAGTTATGTTAGTTGGGTTACAATTAGGTTACAATTTAGAGTTGGTTAAGTTAGGTTATGTCAGTCGAGTAAGGTTATGTTCGTTATGTAAGGTTATGTTATATTAGAGCAGGCTTGGTTACATTAAATTAAGCATATCTTACGTTTGATCAGATTAGGAAGGTTATGTTAACATCAGGTTATGTTAGGTTAAATATGATGAAATTCAGATTAGGTTCAGTTAAATTACATTAAATGAAGCATATGTTATGTTTGATCAGATTAGGAAGGTTATGTTAACATCAGATTATGTTAGGTTAAATTTGATTCAATTCAGATTAGGTTCGGTTAAGTTACATTAAGTTAATCATATGTTATGTTTGATCATATTAGGAAAATTACGTCAATATCAGCTTATGTCAGGTTATTTTAAATTAGATCAAATTTCATTAAGTTATATTAGCTCCATATTTGAGATCTCCAAATAACATAACACTAAATCGTTCCACAGGATTAAATTCTAACTCTAAACATCCTATTCAATTTTCAAAACACCTGAAATGCATGTTCCCCTTTTTCACAAAGTAAAAACGTGCTAAAATTTGTCGGCCGTCCACTGACACCGCGAAACACCAATTATAAGTTGGCCAAGCGGCGTCGGTTTAATGAAGAACGTCGTGCCGTGTAAACAATAGTTTCGTCGTCTACCTGGACGAAACGAACGGTCCCAATTAACCAATGGAGAACGTCGTTTCAGCGTATCTCCAGCCTCTGATTGCGTGCTTGATTAAATCTTCGGTTTTCGACGTGCCTAGCGAACGAAACATCCCTAACCTCTTCCATAGACGTAACTATACATATAGAAACCAGAGTGAATGTGGATTCTATTGGGTAGAGGATTTTTTGCATGTGGAGGTCTAGTGTGTGGTGATATAATGTGTGAAGATATGATGGTAAGGATACGTAAGGGGGTATCATGCATGATATAGGGATGTCCAACATGTGGAGACATGTGTAAGTATGTAAAATACATGAGATAGAATGTATGAAAATGTAGATGTGTTGAAACGTGTAGAACACGACGTATGGATGCATCATGTGATGCTGCAACGCGTAGGTACACATCGTGATACAAGGCATAGAGATATAATACGTAAACATACTCAACCCGTGAAGTACCACGCTTGATAGTGTAACGTGTGGTGATACTATGAGTGGAGAGATACTATGCGTCACGATACAGCGCATAAGAATACCCAATGCATGGAGTTACCACACGTGGATACACCACGCATAACAGAACAGCGTGTAGTAATCTGACGCGTGGATACACAGTGCTTGGATATACCACGTGTGGTAATGCAACGCGTAGAAATCCAGCGCGTGACGGTACAACACATGAGAGTGCAATGTGTGGAAATCCAGTGCGTGACAATACAAGACGTTAAAGTATACAAGACGTGGTGATCTACATGGAGGTATATGATACTTAGAAATACCATGTGCAGCAATACAACGCATAGTGTTCTACTTCGTAGCATATCCAGCACTCATCCAGCGCATGACAACGCACGGTGATAAAACGCGTGACAACATAATCCCAGCTGCACTAAAACTCCCAACAACTCCGAGAACCGAGAACTTACGTAGCTCCTATAAGACGCCATGGTCCGAAGATCCTCCCCACCTCGCCAGTCGAAAGGACCCTACTCGAGGGTGAGTTCCTCCAGTTGTCAGATTCAGCGACCACCATCGACCACCGACACCAGCACCAAGGACACGAAACTATCACCCACCACTATCAACAACACCAGCACCAGCACCCGATCGCGTCACGGTTCGAACCGAAAACGGGAGGAGAACGAAAGGGAGGATTCGAGTGAAGGGGAAGGGGAGGAATCAGAAAAGTCGCGAGGTCAAACGTGGTGAACCGATCGAACGACACGAACGGTTCGACGAAGCGTCGTCCCCGACGGCACGCTCTCATAAGAGAAGAAAGGAAGAGAGCGCTACGGAGGCGCTTCGTTTCGGACGAAGCTCGGACCCTGAAGAGCCGGCGACCCGCGAGGCACGCTGTGTTCTCTCCTCTTTCTTCGTCTTCGCTGTTCTCATCCGTTCGCTTCTCTGTCGATCCCGTTCTCACATCCTTGTCTGATTAATGCGAACCTAACCGCCCCTCGCGTCGCCGTCCCGCTCGCGCGTATCGGCTTCTCTCGTTCATTCGCTTCGTTCAGTCCAGCCCTATTTTAAGAATAGCTTTGCGTCCTCTCCGTTCTGCCGCACCGCGCTTCCGTGCCCGTTCGACGACCACGAACACGCGGCCTTCCTCCGGGAACTCACGGAGACACTAGGGAATTCTGCCATGGGGAAAATTGCCATCAAGCCATGAGATCAGCTCTAGATATCGTAGTGAACTTTTCTTGCTTTTGACAAGTGTGACAAGTGGGCTGTAAACAATTGGATAAACCCCTGTAGACTTCTGGTGGATCTACTGGGTGGTTGAACGTGATATCACGTATGGTCAAGTGTTGGTCACGTATGGTCACGTATGGTCAACTGTAGATACCTGATAGACTTGCTGAATGCGTTAGGTGACAATTTTAGAGTCGAAAATTTGTGAATTTGAGAAGATGGATATTTGGTATCCATCTGGTATAATTTCGTATTAACTTCAAATATCTTTGATGTCGTCTTTAACATCATCACACAACATCCTAACACTCCACATTTCACAAAACTTATTCCATAAATAATTAAATAAAATTACAACGAACAAGTCTACGTAAGGCAACAGTCCACAAGAAATTCTTATCAAAAGTATCTTATCGAAGAACAGATCAGACCGAGAAACTGTTATCGAGTTGTCTCAAACAGAAAAGCTCGACAATGAAGCCGAATCCACAGTTTACCTTGTTTTCGGTGCGATCCAGTTCCCCGAAGATCGTGCTTTGAGTGTTACGAGAGAACTAAAGGATTTGCTTTTGTTGAAAATATCTGGTAACCAATAGATGGGAGATATTTCTTGGGAAAATGAAGAATTATTCCGTGAAAGTACATATATTTCGAAAGGGAGACTTCTCCGGGAACACTTTGAACGGAGTTGTTCGTTGAGAGGATTTGGAACGAAATCTTTGAAAGTATTGGAGAAGTTCGACAGCGATTACATCTTTAATAGGTTTTCCAGGAAAAAAGGAGCTTTACGATGCAGCATTGTTTATTAACGTTTCATAAACGTTCGGTAAAACGAATGATAAAATCGTTCAGTCCAGCCCTATTTTAAGAATAGCTTTGCGTCCTCTCCGTTCTGCCGCACCGCGCTTCCGTGCCCGTTCGACGACCACGAACACGCGGCCTTCCTCCGGGAACTCACGGAGACACTAGGGAATTCTGCCATGGGGAAAATTGCCATCAAGCCATGAGATCAGCTCTAGATATCGTAGTGAACTTTTCTTGCTTTTGACAAGTGTGACAAGTGGGCTGTAAACAATTGGATAAACCCCTGTAGACTTCTGGTGGATCTACTGGGTGGTTGAACGTGATATCACGTATGGTCAAGTGTTGGTCACGTATGGTCACGTATGGTCAACTGTAGATACCTGATAGACTTGCTGAATGCGTTAGGTGACAATTTTAGAGTCGAAAATTTGTGAATTTGAGAAGATGGATATTTGGTATCCATCTGGTATAATTTCGTATTAACTTCAAATATCTTTGATGTCGTCTTTAACATCATCACACAACATCCTAACACTCCACATTTCACAAAACTTATTCCATAAATAATTAAATAAAATTACAACGAACAAGTCTACGTAAGGCAACAGTCCACAAGAAATTCTTATCAAAAGTATCTTATCGAAGAACAGATCAGACCGAGAAACTGTTATCGAGTTGTCTCAAACAGAAAAGCTCGACAATGAAGCCGAATCCACAGTTTACCTTGTTTTCGGTGCGATCCAGTTCCCCGAAGATCGTGCTTTGAGTGTTACGAGAGAACTAAAGGATTTGCTTTTGTTGAAAATATCTGGTAACCAATAGATGGGAGATATTTCTTGGGAAAATGAAGAATTATTCCGTGAAAGTACATATATTTCGAAAGGGAGACTTCTCCGGGAACACTTTGAACGGAGTTGTTCGTTGAGAGGATTTGGAACGAAATCTTTGAAAGTATTGGAGAAGTTCGACAGCGATTACATCTTTAATAGGTTTTCCAGGAAAAAAGGAGCTTTACGATGCAGCATTGTTTATTAACGTTTCATAAACGTTCGGTAAAACGAATGATAAAATTTTCAGTTTCACATTTGTTTTAAGAAGAAATGTTTAGCATGTTGTAAATCAATAGTGATTTATAGTATAATCATCTATCATATATCAACTTTATACGGTACAATATTAATATTAATACAGATACTTGACAAACTACACAAACACAGTGATCCTCGATATGGTGAAACACAATAAAAACTAAAAATAATGGAAAGAATTTCATGTTAAGAAATTAAAATGTCCAATCGAAGCACCGTCTACGAGGAATATTTTGTTGATATTTTCATAATAAGAGAAATGATCGAGGCAATTAAAATCGGTGGAATAATTGAAGAGCGCATGAACTCGGTTCCTCGAAGACACGCTACGTCCCTGTTACCTCGTTACTTCCGCCACTTTAATAATCGTTGCTCCTTCAGACTTTAATCAACCCGTATTATGCGCCGGCTAATAATGATCTCAGCTTCCCTTCAGGATCATCTTCCGATCGTTTGGTAGACCGTCGGCTCCGATTTCGCATCGGAAAACACTCGAATCCTCGTTCGTAATTAGCCTTCGAAATTCACCGGAAGCTCCTCGAGGAAAGGAAACGTTCGAAAGCAAAACACGATCCACATCGATTCAATTCGTTGACTTGAAGGTCTTGGTGGCCACATCGATGTCGCTTCTCGTCGTTTTCGCTTCGTCTTTTCCCAACGTTCTCTTTATTCGTTCAACCAAGCGTACCGTGGATACCTGTTTCAAGGATTCTCCGGTCGATTTCTCGAGGGGGGAGTTTCCGTTTTCGCGGTGCAGTTCTGCGGAATCGCACAAAGACATCGTCCGGAGAATTCAGTCGCCAGAAACGGTACCGTGGCAACACTGGCCTCATTTCCTGGACAAAGAGCGTAGTTTTGCCAGTAGTTTGTCTCCTGGCTGCCGGATTCCTCCGTGAGATCCTCCGGAGAATTTCAGGACCATCGTATCCGACCCTCGACCGAATATTATACGCTTCCGCGCCTCTACTTTGGTGCGACGTAGGCTTTTGATGTGTCAACTTGACAATTTTTATATTTACGAATTTTTTTATTACAAGCTTCCGATTTATTTGATACATAGATCTCTAGAATCATAAAATCTTCTTGTTGATCTTGATGACCTTGAAATATGATGTGAAGGACACCGTTCTGAACTTTTTATATATACTAACTTGTTCCATCACCAATAACTTCATGATTGTTATCATTTTTAAATAATTAAATTTAATAAATGATTAAACTATATACATACTAATAAGTATACATACTAATAAGTAACTTAATTTTAAGTAATTGGCAAATTTTGTTTTGAATTTATTTATTCGTCTTATATGCAATTTCTTTATCATCAAGATATGTGTACACATATGGCGACCTCTTAAATATGGATATTTAAGAAAGTATTAAATTTTGCCGATTTAATAGTAATTAACTAGTAAATCATTTTCCAGTGTGTTACTCTCTTCCAATCATAACCTTGCAATTTCAATAAATTCTTGTAATTCAATGAAATTTAACATTGAAAAGAATGAAAATATTTCTCTAAATAAAAACACCCCTTAATATTATAAAAATCTGCTTTCCAAACCATGATTAAAAACCCATCTCCAATCAACAGAAGCGTCTCCAAACTCTCAACTAACCCTCAACGTCTGTTTCAAATTGCATTTCGTGCTGCCAACTTTCGAGAAACCTCAGAACGAAGCTCGAGCCTTCATCAACGGCAAACGATAAATGGCTGAAAACTCGTGGTTATCGGTCGAGATTCTCTCGAGCTTTCACAAGCTCCGTTTCGAAGCTCCCGTATTCGATGGCGCCACAAGAAAGGCACCGGAAGCTGAGAAAAGAAAAAAACGCGAGAAATACAAGACATCTGCATTTCTACATCCTCCAAGTATCGCCTCCAAAAATAGCCGAGTATATTATATTTCATAGCTATTTGTTTCGATGCGTTCAACTTCTCCCTTCATAATCCCGTTGGATTGCTCGTATTCGAGCTGATCCGGATTAGAATGGTGCAACTGGCCTGACAAATCGTGTCGAATCTCCTGGTGGCAGTGAAAATGAACCGTGCCTCGTCTGGCCAGTGTCGTCGATTAATCTCAATCAGTCCGCGTAAATCACGGAAGCCATAGGACGATGCGACCGGCATTCAGTCTCCATGGATCCACCTAGAAATATTTTTGTGCCCGATATAGAAGCACCGGGTGTATAAATACGCGGTGAACAGGCAATAAAAATATCGGCGAGCGGCACTCGAAGCGACGAGCGAGGTTCGCCGCGTACAGTTTCGATTTCATGGTGGCTCTCCACTTAAAAATGAATAGCCCTTTGTCAACCCGATCCCTCTGGCATCGAATCCAGGCCAAAATGATTTACTCGCGGGAATAGCGTATCTGGATATCTTTGCTATTTGTAGGAATATGAGACGTGTTTATTCGTGAAATGAATATGTGGTACTTTATGGATGTGTCGAAGGACTGACAGGTCGAGTATATTTTTATGGAGAGAGTTAGGGAGGTTGGGGGTTTGGGTAGGGTTTGGGTGGTTCTGGATTTGGGGATCTGGGAGTTGGGGAGATTTTAGATTGGAGTCGAGAGATTTGGAAATTTAGAAGTTTGTATACTTGGAACTTTG